TCATAATGCATTTATTTATCATGTCTCCTTAGTCTTCTCTGATCTGTGAGTTTCTCACTCTTTCCTTGTTTTCATGGCTTTGAGAGTTTTGAGGAGTACTTAACATGTGTTTTGTAGAATGTCCTTCAAATTGGGTTGGCCTGATGTTTTGCTCATGTTTAAACTGGAGTTATGGGTTTGGGGGAAGAATATCAAAGAGATGAAGTGCTCTTCTCATGATATCCTACCAGGGGTACACACTATCAACATAACTTAAAACTGATGATATTAATCTGGCCAAAATAGTGTTTGCTGGGTCGAAAGCAAGTCACTAAGTCTAGCACACCCTCAAGGAGAGAGGGAAGAGAACCTACATCAATTATTGGGAATTCTTCTGTAAGGAAGATTTGTCTCTTCTCCTCTATTTTTTTATTTATGTAATCATTTAATTATATCAATATGGATTCATGTATATTTTGGGTTTTTTTCCTTTTTTTCTCTTTTTTCTCCTGGCACTGCCCTAATGCTGCCTCCCATCCTGGAGCTGCACTGAGGTGGTAGTCATGGTGGTGGTGGCACTGGAACCTAAAACCCAAGGGAAAACTCATCTTTCTGGCTAGATGAAATGAGAAAAGAGGACCCCGTGGTCTGGAGTGTGAGGGAATCTCCATTATTTTTTTTTTCTCTTTTCCCTCACTGCTTTTCCCTCACTGCTTTGCCTTGAAAGTAATCCCAATCACACAAAACTACTCAACAGCACATGTGGCTACAATTCCTAGAGAAAACACAAATTTCTATCCAGAGGATTGGAGAAAGGGGCCACTGGGAGCCATAGGGAATGGGGAAAATAATGGAGAAGAAAGAAATAGAGAAATGAATTCCCTAATTCCATGTATGAACTGACACAAGTCCCAGGCTCATTCTGAGCTGTTCATATGGAGAAAATACCCAAAGCAGGAGAGCAAAGGCTTTGAGAACTGAACTCACATTGGAACCACTGTCCAGAGAGGCCCAGACAGAACTTGCAATCTGTCTCAGGTTCATTGCCCATTAAAATAAAATAGTTGACATTCTCCAGAGAATTTTAATAGGACCCAGCGTCTCATAACATAGTATTCAAAATGTATAGGATATAATCTAAAATTACCCAACATACAAAAATACAGGAAAATGAGACCAATTCTCCAAGGAGAAGAAAATCATATGTCAACCTTGAGATTGCCCAGATATTGAAATTTTTTCAAAGATCATTAAACAACTATTATAGTCATACTCAAAAGAGATAAAAGTAGACACTCTTGAAATTAATGGAAAGATAGACGTTCTTACCAGAGAAATAGAAACTATTGTTTTAAATGGATATTTTAGAACTGAGAAAATATAATATATGAAATAAAAATTTACTGGATGATCTCAATAACACAATGAAAGTGACAGAGGAAAGAGTCAGTGAACTTGAAAACAGATCAATGCAATTCATCTAATCTCTACAACAAGGAGAAAAAAGATTGAAAAAATTCAGAGTGTCAAGGACCTGTGGGACAATATCAACAAGATCTAATACTTATATTATTGAAGCCCCAAAATGAGAGGAGAAAGAGATTGATGCAGAAAAAAAAAATTTGAAGACAGAATGCAGAAAATATATATTTGGTGAAAGACATAAATTTACAGCTGTAAGAACCTCAGAAAACCCCAAACAGAATAAATTCAAAGAAAACCAAACCCACGCACATTATAATCTAATTACTGAAAACTAAAGCTAAAGGAAAAAATCCTGAAAGCAGACAGAAAAAAAATGACCCTTTATATATGTGGGAACAACAGATTGAAGAACTGCTTGGTTTCTCATTTGTTACCAAAGTTCTCAGAAGGCAATGGAACAACATCTGTAACATGCTAAGAGAAAAGAACTGCCAACCCAGAATTCTATATCCAGCACAAATATCTTTCAATAAGGATGTCAAAATAAAAACAGTCTCAGAGGAAAGAAAACTAGGAGAAATCATTGCTCAAAAGCCTTCTCTAAAGCAGGCTAATGGAAATTCTTCAACCTGAAATGTTCCCTGAGGAAACCTGGAACTTCAGGAATAAAGAATGAGCAACAGAAATGGTAAATATCTGCATGATTATAATAGACTATTTTTCTCCTGCATTCTTTAAAATACATATAACTATCTGAAGCAAAAATGTGGACATTGTACGCATGCCAACTATGACATAAAGAAGGATATTAATCCCTAGAACAACTGCTTAAAAAAACTAAGATATAGTCCAAAAATCAACGGATACATTTAAATGGATTACTAAAAGATATTCAAATATTTGAAAATAAGGCAGGAAGGGGAAACAGAGACACACACACACACACAGGCACAAACCAAGCAAATAATAAAATGATACACCCAAAACCAACCATATCAGTGATTACATTGCATGTAAATGGTCTAAACACACCAATTAAAAGACAGGGACTGTCAGATTGGATTTTTGTGTGTGTGTGAGGAAGATTAGCCCTGAGCTAACATCTGTTGCCAATCCTCCTCTTTTTTTGCTGAGGAAGATTGGCCTTGGGCTAACATCCATGCCCAGCTTCCTCTACTCTCTATAGGACGCTGCCACAGCATGGCTTGATGAGCGGTGCATAGGTCCATGCCTGGAATCCGAAACTGTGAACCCCGGGCCACTGAAGCAGAGCATGCCAACTTAACCACTATGCCACTTGGCCAGCTCCAAGATTGGATTTCTTTTTTTTTAAACTTGTATGCTACTATATTAATGTTAGCTGAAGTTGAATATCCGCTAGAATGTATACACAATAAAAACTGAAATTTTATCTGTGAAAGAGGTGGGTCATCACATAAATTACCGTCTATCTAGTTATAGAATACTTTTTGTTTGTTTAAATATCCTCCTTTTTTAAGGTCTGGCTGAGGTAGCTCTACTCTACAGAAAACTTGGCCAGATTCAGGTTAGCCAGTGAAATAGCCATTTGCCCTTCTTTCTTGTTAACTGAACTCTGAATTCATTCAGCTCACAGAGAAAAATCACTGGGCTGAGTGAATTGTAAAAATCTCATTTCTTTTTACCAGTTAATAACCCACCAGTGCAACATGACTCAGTTTTGGCCAACAACATGTAAGAATTCTGTTGGGGGCATCTAGGAAACATATTTTCTTTCCGAGAAGAGAGAGGAGGACAAGAAAAAAATCCCCCCATTTTTTTGGTGGGTGTGCTTTATTTTTTGAATTCTGTTACAGGCGGATGAGATACTTAGAGCTGTGGTAACCAATGTCACAAGGAAGAGAGCTGAGTATGGCAGAGGAGAAAGATAAACGGAGTCTGATGAACCATCTCTGAGAATGCCTACTACTGGACTTCTTATTAAGTAAATAAGAAATATACATATTGTTTAAGCCACTGGTGGTCATGCATTCTGCTACCTGTAGTCAAAGTATTATTAACTGACAATGAATAGAGTCTGGTTGTTCTCAGCACATAATGCCATATATGCAATTCTGCCCTTTGGGCACTGTTATGGCGTTGTCCTTCCCCCTTTCCCAGCCACTAAATTTGGAGGGGAGAGGGATGGAAAAAAACATCTGCCTAGAGAGGATGAAGGTGTAGTAGAGTAAGGGGCACAGTGCTAATCATTTACTGCAGAATTAATAATACTGCATGAGTTGGGATCCATTCATTCAAGCAGTCAACAAACATTTATTGAGCGCTTATTGTATGCTAATCTCTGTGTTAGGTACTAGAGGGACAAATACGATAAAAACAAATTTTGTGTTTCAAGTGGAGGTGATAGTGTGCAAATACATATATAAGATCAGATTGTGTCATAAAGAAAAGTGGCAGCGTAAGAGCACGTTGGGGGCTATTCTAGATAAAGTGGCCAGAGAATAACAGCTATTTCAGAATTTCACACAGAGCTGGATTTGTAGCCTTTTTCACTTTCTTTGAGAAGTGATAAGGAAACTTTGAACTTGTAAAGTCTTATTAGTTGCACATTAATAATCTATAAACTCAAAGAAGGCAGTAGAGCAACACTTAGTTTGGGATCCTTATAAAAAAGAAAAGAAATAGCTACATCAGGAAAGTTTTCAAATCTCAATATGAGATTAATCAATCCGTGATAGCTCACAGTCTTGGAATTTTTATAAGGGAAGAACTTAAAAGGGTTGGAAAATGATGGCCCGACATTGGCAGCTATGCTAGACGATAAAAGCAATTTGGAATGGAGAAGGAATGGAGGACTAAAGACAAAAGGGAGAACGAGAACAAGTTATTACCCTACCTGGAAATTTACGTGGACTATGACACTGAGTCAGCCAGGAAATCCTTTCGGGTGGGGCAGAAACTTGGGTGGCAGATGTTGTTTAGAAACAACCTGACTGATGACCTTATTTAAAGCAGGAAGAATTACCATTCCAGCCATTCCCAGTTTAGAGAGGCTGCAAGCCTCGGAGCAGGAAGTCTTAGGTTCTCAGGTTGAGAACTACAGCCTTCATTCTTCCTATCTGCGGCTCTTTCCTAAATTGAAAATTACGAAACCCAGGAGAGGCGGGGCTCAGGAACCTGGAGGTTAATAGATGCCAAGTTGTCCATTAAGATTCCGAGGCAACTGGCCCCCAAATCTCACAAGGAAATACTGCTGAGTTCCATCTTCCAGGACATCTATGTCCTCTGAGTATTGCAGACGTAATCATAAACACAAGCCAGTTGCAGTGACAACTTCTTCGCTCCAGTGCAAACTCACAGACTCCTGGAAACACTCCCCATGCTGCCAGAAACCCCGCCCCCGTTCGTAACCATAGGAACGGCTCACACGCCGCGAGCCGAAGATTCCCTCTTCCGCCCCCTTCCTAACAAATATTGTTTCCCACTATCTGTCCACATGGGCGCACCGCGTCACCATTGGTCAGTGCCCCAGGACTGTGCCTTACCCCAGCCAATAAGCGGCCTGTGCACGTGCACGCCTGCGTATCCCGATTGGTCACCACTCCCTGATCACGCACTACCTACCTGCGCCAGCCGGTGCGTGAGGGCGCCAATGAAATGACTCAGTGGCCATTTACAACCAATCCGCACGACGCGGGGCTCACAGCCGGCCTATGGGCGCGCGCCGGGGGCGGGCTGTCCCGGCCCCTTTCCAGTCCCAGCTGGGTTTGTTAAAGCGACAGGGGCCACCGCGCGTTTGGGCTCCACGGAGCACCGCACAGCGGCCGCGGTGGCCCTTGACGTGCGGCGGGCGCCCGTGACAGCGGCGCCGCTCTGCTCGCGACCCCGGCTCCAGGCCGCTGCCTCCCTCCTTGGCGCGGCCGCGTCGCCCAGCGGGATGGGCGGCGAGGCGGGGTCCGCGGCGGCCGTGGGCTCCGAGGGCCGAGTGAAGAGCTTGGGTCTGGTGTTCGAGGACGAGCGCAAGGTCTGCTACTCGAGCGGCGAGACGGTGGCGGGGCACGTGCTGCTGGAGGCCGCCGAGCCGGTGGCCCTGAGCGCGCTGCGTCTGGAGGCCCACGGCCGCGCCACTGCTGCCTGGGGCCGGAGCGCTGGCACCGCAGTCTCGGCCGCCCTCTCCGAGGTGGAGTACCTGAACGTGCGCCTGAGCCTGCGCGAGCCCCCGGCCGGTGAGCGCGGGCCACGGCCCCGGAGCCTCCGCCGGGCCGCGGGAGACTGCGGGGAGCGGCTGGGAGGGGGCGCGCCGGAGGATGCCCACCTGCCAGGTGGGCGGGGGCGGGCTCCCAGGGGGTGAGATCCACGCACGGGGTGGCGGGAGCCTCAGTGTGGTCGCCGGTGACGGGCAGGTAACAATGCTTGGGCCCCTGCCTCACAGCATCGGGGAGATGTGCGTGGTGGGTGCGCACCTCTACCTGCCGCCCCGCCCCTGGCTCGCTTGGGCCAGACCAGCGCCAGGCGTCCCAGGACTTGCTAGGACAGCTCTGGGAGTGAGCCGTTGCCATGGGAACCAGTGATGATCAGTCAGGAACCAAGGATCTGGGGATCTAGGTCCTGTCCCTTATGGCCTGAGGAATGGCGGGCGCAGCCAGAGTCTAGGAGGTTCCATACTTTGGTACCCAGTGTTTTATGGGCCTCCCTTTCTTCCCATCCGGGGCCTACACGTGTTTGGTTCATGATGAGTTAGCAAATCCTGAATCTTGGGAAGAGGGAAGTAGTTACTGAGCGTTAGGAGTTCAAAAGAAGTGTTTCCCTCTTCTGGAGAATGAGATGACTTAAGAATTCTGGCTCTACGTTATATTATTTGGCTTTATTCTTTGCTTTTTTTTGTTTCCTTTGCATCCTCTTCCTCCCCTCTCCTCCCCCCCTTAGGCCTTTAGAGACAATGGGATCTGGGCATGCTAAGAGTTGCTGGAAGAAGGATCACCCTTCCTATCCACTCTTATGAAGTCCATTTAATAGTGTAGGCTTTTCCAGAAGTGACCATGTGGAGACCCACCACATGGGTGTTCTATTAGTATTAAGTGAAAAAATTGATTCCATTACTCATGAAAATATTAAGGAGTCTTAGACTTCGTTGAGTTGGTGGAAGCTATTTTGACTTTGCCTCATCAGCATCAGCTTTTATCTATAAAATAGAATAATGGTACAGATGCTCTCTCCTTGGAGAGTAAAATGCGTTGTATCTGTGTTTAACTCTTGCTGTGTCTTATGCAAAATCAATAGAAGGTGCAGTTTTGCCTTGTCATACTGTGGAGAAGTAGACTGTCCACCGTTAAGTCCTCAAGGTATGTGAGAACTGAATGATCCCAAAAGTTGTAGTGAGGAAAAACATATTTGGAACCAGAGCTCTCTTTTAGATTAACAAGTGCAGTGTGTTAGATGCCGGTTGTTACGTGCTTTAGTGCCCTTTCATCAGTATGGTTTCCAGGGTCAGCTCCCACATGCCTCCCCCAGTGACACAATACGGATTTTCAAGATGGCGGACTGGAGTAAAGGGCCATGGAAGAGAGAAGTAAATTGGCTTTTTGTCCAGGACTTCAGACTCAGTATCTCTGGGTCCATAACTGCTGAGTAAATAGGTGTAAGATTAATAACAGTTACACCTAGGATTACAAAAAAAAAATTGCTTTGGTAAAATCTGGGCTAACAAATAGTGTTTTGATTTACAAGTCAGATCCTGTTTTTTCATTCTGATGGCATGGAATGTCTAAACCTAGACAATCCGAAAATCTTTAGCTTCTTTTAGAATGTGTCATAACAAATATTGGCAAAAATTATGTTTTACTTTAAAATTAAGGTCTATTTTAGTTGATTTTGTTGAGAAAAAAGGTCATTGCTAACATCTGTAGCTTAGAAGCAACTAGCAACTTTACCTACTCTTAGATTCTCATTTAATTCCAAAACCTAGTTGAGTTTCAGTCACCTGAAGAGATTTTTAGAATTTTTAGATTTTCAGGAAATGTGGCTGTGGGATTTTCAAAATATCTCCCCAGATAGTTCTTTGGCATTGTTAATGTAACCCAACCACTTGCTATCACTGTGATTGGTTTTCTTCCTGTTTTAATTGAGGAATTGTGGTAGAGAGAGAAAACAGACCAGAGAATTTGTGTCAGTTCTTGGTCACCCACCAGCAGTATGACCTTGTGCAAGTCCCTCTTCATTCTGGAGCCTCCATCTCTAACTCTGCAGTGGTCTGACTCATGAGTGCCCTGAGATAGGAGATTTGGCTATAAGTTGGTTAGGGAATGAAACATCTCCCTGTGCCATACTAGTCCTCAGTGCATAAGGCAGAAGTAATGAGCCGTGAGAACAGAAGCAGAAATGGACACACAATTCAGCTTGTGAACCTTTTTAATTATAAGTGAATGAATGAAAACAAAGATTTGATTCCAAATACTATAACCCATGTTTATCAACTTTCTCAATTTTTTTTCCTGTTTATGTTTTCAGGTGCTTGAAAGTCTAATTTTAAATGTTATAGTTCCTATGTTGATTTGTATTCTCTGTGAAGAGGAAACTTCATCTCTCTCTTAACTTCTTTCAAGATCCTGGGCAACTCTGCTCTCTACATATGCTTATTATGCCCTGCCTTAGGCTGTTCCCTTC